GTATAGTCGAGTGCTAATTGATTATTAATAAACAACATAGCATTTCAATTTATATTATTGAAATTATATTAACTTTAAAAATATATTTATTATCTTGGTGGCTTATTAGACGATCAAAAGGATTTGATTTGAAATATGAAAGTTTCAAGCCCCAATTTACGGAATGCACCCATTAATAAATTATCTTTGTGACAACGTATAAATTAAATATAAATAATTTTAATAAACGGATCTTATGAAGAATATATGATCAAATTAGGAATCTACGGTAAATATGTCGAAAAGGATAGTTAGCAATTTAAATAGGATATTTATTTAAAATTACTAAAATTCATTTCTCTTGAATGCATTGGAGCCTTGGTCATATTTTAGTTCACTCGACAGCAGATAATATTGTGCGTGTTGCGATTGTAAAATGATCGATTAGAGAGTAAGCAAAGATGAAGAAAAATCGCAAAGTCTGGTTCTGTTATAAAACAAAACAAAACAAAACAAAAAAAAAAAACATATTACTAGTTATTATATCCGTGATACAAAATGATCTTTAACATTATAATTACTTTCTCGTTACATATGCTAAGTATTATTTACTACGCCCTTATAATATTAAATATTTTATAAAATAATATTTTATAGATTTTTAACTTTTACAAAATATTGTAAAGACAATTAATTTAATCACAAATTTTTTTCAATTGAATGTGAGACATTCAAGGCGGCTGGTACATTACGTTGTAAGAATATTTATATTTATTTTATGTTATTTATACAAGAGTCATTTCATATGATCATATAACTAATAAGACGAATAGAACATATATAGTGAATGAGCATAAGGAAAAATTTAGCAAGTCATGTTGGCTCGCTGTTTGTCACTGGTGCCGCTTGTGACACTTGTGACAATAAAAACTAAGGACTCGTCAATATCATTATTCATCCATATATATACATATATATATATATATATATATATATATATAGCCTAAAGAATATCGACATTGAATGGATCTTTCATTGCCAATGAAAACTGTACTAAAAATGTTACTAAAAATCATTATTGGCATATTTGTATGAGCGAGTAATGCTCGGTTAATCGATCCTATCACTACTTACTCGAGCCTCTTCACTTAACAACAATCACTTTACATTTCCCGATTATTTTCAAACAATTATCACCTATATATATATATATATATATATATATATATATATATATATATATATAAAATATATATCACCTGCCTTACCTCTACCGCTCGACAAAATTAATCGCATTTCTATCAATGCGCTCCTTCAAATTAATAGCATAAAATAAATATAAACTTTATAACGTAGAAAAATGGAGTATCGATGAATATTCAAACGGAAGCCGTGTATTCCGAGCGATAAGCATCGTTGCTACGATCTCGATATGTTAGGTTGCAAATTAAGTATGTGACGAACATCAGTAAATTCGAAATTATAAACTCGTCGGCAAAAGACTTTCGCATACCTTGCAGAATGTTCGACACATACAAGGAGGCTCAGCGACAGGAAGTTTATCCCATGCCGATTATTAATCCCATCCTGTTCAGCCATTTTATTTTTCCCATCACACATTTATTATCATTTCGTCCCGAATTATCATTTCGACTAAACGCAATCCGCCAACGAGCCCCATAATCCCCAATATTTAATTCCCAATATTCCCAGAGGCTTATAACAGATGCAGTCTCAGAAGCTCTCTCTTCATCGATAACTTTCAGCGCAATATTTATACAATATTTCCAAATTAAACGGCACATCAATCCGACAGTCTTGATTTAGTAGAGTAGAATTCGCTTGTCCACGGCTTTGCGGCATATCGGGCACTCGGACATTCGGTCGCCGCACATTTGGCACGTACCGTGACCACAGAGGAAGATCATGTTTTTCAGGCGATCCAAGCATACTGGACACATTGTCTAAGGTAGAAGAGGAAAAAGCACCTAAGCATAAATACCTTCGCGAAAATGAAGATGATGAATTTAGAGTACATTGGACGTTCGTAACGCGCGGCTGGCAAATTTTAAATTCTATATTATGACAAATGAGCTATTTCTCCCTTCTTTTTTCTTTTTTCTTTTTTCTTTTTTTCTTTTTTTCTTTTTTTCTTTTTAATCGATAAGCATCTCTCGCACCTCGTCTCTCATATTCTATTACTTTAATAATCGATATTACAATTAATTTGACCAAATAATGTCGACGTATCGACAAAAACGCGCGCGCACACATGTATGTTACGCGTAGACCGCGCTGTGTCGTATGGTCGATATATACTTTTCCCTATCTGCCTTTTTGTGGGCGAGAAAAGTAGATGGGATCCATACAAACATCGTGTCGCCGATAAAAATTGCTTTTTATTTAGTTATTAACGTTTAAATCGTTGCCTGGCATATAGTTTAAAATACCAGCTGCACGATGCAGACAGAATTCTGAAAAGGCACAATAGTATCTCCTGAATTTTATTCTTAGAAATTACGCAATATTGTAAATATAAATACCTCGAATGTAATTTGAAGGTGTGCGATTTTCTAACACTTATATTGCATTCGAAGTAATTGTTTTAATATGCTTGTACAGACACTCATTTTTACGAATCTAGTCAATTTTCATATCAATTTAGTCGATGTTATGGCAATGGTATTACACTCGAGCGAGATATATTCCTTTATTACAATTAATGCTCGGGCAATTGTTACCGTTACGAAAAAAAAAAACCGAAAAGTACAAAATAACAACTTCGAAAATTAGTTTACAGCATTAGTAGCTTTGAAATTCCAGACAGATTGTATTTAAAGAAATATATAGAAAAGATATTACTTTATATTTCGAGAACATTATCAAAATCATCAAATTTTTGCTTTTCAATTTGGCGAACGATGTGATACAACCGATAGGGGCTATAAATCGACATATTTCTTATAAATAACATTTAACAAAATGCATTTGTACTCGTTATCTAATTGGGAGGTCTAAAAGTGAAACAGCATGAAGCGATTAGCGTCAGTTAAGTGAGATTGCATAATTATTGGTCGGTTCGTAACAGAAGGGCGTTTACCAATTACCGAGTAGTTGATAAGGTCGTGCTCGGCATTACCGTAATAAACAAAATCCATGAGATTCGAAGATGCTAGGCCCAAAAAGATTTATAGACGTAATACTTTGCCGAGTGTAAATCCAGTAAAATAATTTAGAAACTGTAAGAGGATGCAGGGATCTCGTGTTCAATGTCGCATGATCGCTGCGATCGTCGGCTACGGGAGCGCGACTCGGCGATCGGTAAGTAAGCTTTCTGCAGCGCGCAGAAGCAAGAGATACCGGCAGAGTGGAGATGAAGTAAATTTTTTTTTCCACATACCTGCTCTTTGATGTCCTGCAGCTGCTGTTGCAGCTTCTGTATGTCGCTGTGGGACGTGTCGCGGCTGCCGTTGTTCATGAGGATGCCCTCGGCTGGGCTCGCGATTTGGGTCGCGATGCCGCCGCCGCCGCCGCCGCCGCCGCCACCGCCGCCGCCGACGACGACACCACCACTGCTGCTGCTGCTGCTGCTACTAATGTTGATGTTATTGTTGTTGTTGGCGTTGTGCTGATGTTGTTGCTGATGCGAATGCTGCTGCTGCGGCTGTTGTTGCTGCTGATGCTGCTGCGGCTGTTGTTGCTGCTGATGCTGCTGCTGCGGCTGCGGTTGTTGTTGCTGTTGTTGCTGTTGTTGCTGTTGTTGCTGTTGTTGCTGTTGCTGCTGCTGATGCAGATGCTGTTGGTGCGGCTGGTGCTGCTCCACCTCGGCGTCCGCGCCCTTCAACTCGGCCAGGGCCGCGGTCGCCGCCGTTATCCTCATTTTCTCATAATCGACGTTGCTCGCCCCCTCGGCCCGGGGATTGTCGTTGTTTGAGGGCGCGGCCGGGAGGCCGAGACCGCCGCCGTTGCTGCTGCCGCCGCCGCCGCCGCCGCCACCCCGCCGGTGCAGAGGCGCGTTAACCGCCGTCGTGTTGCAGCCCTTGACGTAGGTCACGTCGCCCCCGCCGCCACAGCACATGGACAGGGGCAGCATGTGGAGGATCTGTCCACGGCACTGGACGCACTTTTTCATGAGGGTGGCGCAGCTATCGCAGGCGCACATGTGGCCGCAGGGTCGGAAGAGGATCGCGGCCTTACGATCCGAGCACACCATGCATTCCTCGATCTGCAATCATCGGGGCGCTCGTATCTTCCAACGTGACCCTCTTTGCAGCCCTTTCAGTACCGTCAGCCCCCCACCCCCCTCGTCCATAAAACGGCCCCACCCCAACCCACCATCACTCACTCACGCCCATCCACCCATCTACCTCGATCACGCTACCCTAAACGCGCCACCCTTTCTTTTCTCTCAGCCCCTTTCCCCTTTTTTGCCTCTCCGATAACCTCGTTGTACTTTCATTAGTCGATACTTGACAACTATTACTTATATAAATCCTTCGGGCTGCTTAATTGTACGCGTATCGGATGCAAATCGAGTGGTCGAAATATGGAAATTTGTATGGAGATTCGAAATCGATATGAATTTTAAATATCAATGGGCGCTATTTTGACGCGATCCTCAATGGAAAAATGTTTTTGGCAATGGTAACAATGACATTTACGATCAAGTGCTTTTATTATTCGCCCAACTTATATAATCAGTTTTAAAATATTACGCGAGCCTATTTTTTCTCATATTTTAACGGCCCATTAAATCTACCCGTGTGATCGTATACATATAAAATTAACCTAGAAGTAGGCTTTTTTTAGATCAGCACACTCGCTCGCTTACTTTGACAATGAAAAAGCTTGTTTATTAAGCAAATGAAAAGATTGAATTGTGTAACGGTAAACAATTAATTGCGGACTAACGAGATCCCTAATAGGCGTTGAAATATAAATTTTTATATTTACGACAAATGTTCGCAAATGATGATTTATTTTAATAATCGTTTTTCTTTCAGCTTCTCATCATTACAATGGCAGTATATTTCGTAATTAAAAGCTGTCAAATGAAAACCTTTTTACTAATCGCTTAAATACAATCTAACTGGATCCATAATATTTCTCAAGTGGAAATTGCACTAAAAGCGCATAGTACATTTATATAAATCGAATATATATTCGTATCAGACAACTAAGACATTAGTTATATACTTTTATACAACTGCAAATATATGTAATATAATAAGAGCAATTGTATATATATATATATATATATATATATATATATATATATATGCGTGTGTGTGTGTAATAATAATAATAATAATAATAATTCATCAAGTGCTGAAATGAAAGTAAAAGATAAGAAATAGCTTTGAAGCCGCTACCTAAGCTTGAAATAAACATTTCATAACTGGGTAATACGAGAAGGTACTTTTTCGCGCGACGATCTTCACCAAAATAGCAAATGTTCCTTCAATTAAAAATGACGATGTACGGCAATAAAGCGTCGGGGCGGTACGCGTCGCTCGTGACGTTAAGTAAGTAAAGAGCGGGAAGGAGCTAATTTTTCCATTTCCCTCCCGGGAGTGTGCGAGTAAAGCGATTA